CATTTGTGTTTCAGAAATCTCAGGGATATTGGAGTGCATGCTATTGGGCCCTGAACGGTGCTGATTTTACACAGTTTTCAATGGGGCTTGAATTAGTGGACTGGACCTGTAGACAAATCTAATGAGATGCTATTCTGAGGGGCCATTTACACTCACGCAGCTGTCTCAACCTGAGCGTGTGTAGGCACTTCGGCCATTGACTACTGCCTATTGGTCAAGGAGGAATTTCACATGCGCGCACCACCTGCACGCGAACAGGATGGCCCCGAAGTAATGGCTTCTAGTTTTGACCATTGGATTTGTTTAAATGTATAGCCCATTAATTCTGGCCCACAAATGGCATACTGCCCTGGATGAATAGATCGTTTTACTGACACACCAACTTAATATATGGTCTTTTTCACAGTTGGTGGTGTGACTTTGAAATTTTGAGGTTTTTATTGTACCAGGCATTTGATCACACAGCTGTGCTGGGTAAGAGCTGCTGGACTAGTACCTCAGGTACTTTCTGCTTAATAAAATTCCTGTCTTTTCCCATATGGATCCCAAACCCTTGTAGAGGATAATCCTACTCACCTTGAGCAATCCATTTTTCAGTATCCTTTTGTTTTAATTCAATCTGTCTTTATTGTTGTGCATGTAATGTCAAGTTGCTTTGCAGTTAGAAATATACACAAGGGATGGGCCTTTCTGCCATGTTTTTGACCCTGATTCTGTTTCAGTTCAGGAGTTATCGGTACATCATTATGTGACCTCATGTTTCACAGGTTACTTCTTCCTTTCACTTTTCATGTTGTGACCGTATATTATACTACATTTCTCATAAATGGAAATGGCAAATATCACACATTTTTTAACTTGTTACTGCTGATTACATCTACATGTACTTATGTTTGATGCTTGATGCAAGGAAAGAATGAAAGTGAAGTGTGTTAACACTGCAGACATGAAGATGGGAATATTGAGGTTTGCAAGGAAAGAATGAAAGTGAAGTGTATTAACACTGCAGACATGTAGGTGGGAATATTGAGGTTTGCAAGGAAAGAATCAAGAAAATGTGTTGTTTGAACCAGTGGTTCCGATACAAACCTTTTTTCGGAGCATACATGCTAATGTTTACAGCACAAATCTGTAATTTGTAGATGCACTGCACTTTCGTCTCTTTTGGGGGGTATTTCCCCACCCACTTTTTTCATCTGCAGATTCATTCTTCCTTTTAATCTTTTTCTTTCTAGAATTTTGGTGTCTTTATTTTGATGTTTATTTTAAAGCCAATTTTATGCTTTCTCATGTCGTGTCTGTTAAATCACTTTATCGGACACTTCAAGGTTTTGTCACGTACATGTACATGTATCTTCACAAGGGAAGCTGGGAAGCACATTTGTGACATAATGATGTTTGAAGTAAATTTGGGTCACATCCGTTGTGTTTCTTTGAAAACATAACACTGGTAATGCGCCAAAATGTTCTGTGAGAGCAAGAAATTGAATAAGAAACTGTACTTTTCATCCACATCATACATGCACCGGTACATAGAAGTACATGTACATACCTCAAACATACGCACATGTACACTTTATTGTATTCCTCTAACTCTACATGTACTTGTACCTCAGATGGCGTATCTAAATACATGTATACATTACATGTACATGTACTAGTTTTAGGGCTGTTTTTAGGGTAAAATAGGATTTGGGGGGTGTTGCAGTACCTGTAGAGCCACTACTGCAGATGTGATTAGACAGTTAATCTGAAAAGCCACTGGTGTTGATTTTTCTTTTCTGTTTTTCTTGTTTTTTTTAAATCAGATATATTCAAATTCAAGTCATTTTTTTGCTTAAAATTTTTTCTTGTATTTTATAAAAATGTGAGACAAGTCAGCTTAATTACAAAACAAGTAAATTTAGCTGTGTATACCGGTACATGTAGGAGTGTGCATTTCCGGGTATTTTTGGAACCGGGTACCCGTTTTTTGTCAACATCAATTACCCGCAACCAGTACGAGTAACAAATGGCGTTGCGCGCAACCCCGGAGGACCTTGTGCCCGAAACAGGGCTCTTTTTCGTACATACATGTAGGAAGCAAGCAGCACGTTGTTCTAAATGTCGGAGTTAATCTCTCCTACCTTTTTATCAAATGAAATTGTTACCTTCAGTTTGCAAATTGTTTTTTGTGGGTAAATGCCCCGGATGCTGCATGACCACATACACGCGGAATGCACTTGCACAAATGGTGAGCGCTGGTCATGTCACGTGCAAACCAGATCTGCTGTGTACGTCACAGGTTAAAAGGCTTTTATGTACTAAAATACCTCCATAACTCAACAATGTCCACACCATTTTATCCACTTATTTTGAAGTCTCTGATTAAAAAATGTCACCAAAATTCTTCAAGTGGAGTTGAAAGTATCGTAAGTCTATATAGGGTTAGGAGTCATCACTGCCAAGTGTATTTCTTTTCTCACGGGGACCAGTTGTATGCACGTTGCATTAACCAACATTACCTGAAACTGCAATCCTGGCTTTCAACCTACTGAAGCTAACCTGATCGCTAATGTGGGCCCAATTGTAGTCCCATTCAGGCAGTCCAATTGCTGACACTGCAGTGGGCATGTGACCGCAAAAGGAAAGGTCGTGACCACACACAGGGAAGCCCAAGTAAAAAAATAGGACTGTGTGTAGCGCTTCACGTTCTAAAGTTTTGCCTCACGAAGATACCATGATAAAGTGGTTTATTTTATTAAAAACTTTTAGGATAACTCCATTCCCCTGAGGTTCAAGTTGTCGAGATTTTAATGTATAAGTGCTTCGACAAGTGACATTTGACAGGCCGACTGTATTGTGACTTATATGTGAATTGCTTTTGTGCCTATAGAAAACATGCTTCTTGCTTTTTGTTCAAATCTCATCCACCATGCCCACAGTTCCACTGAATCAGTGTGGAAATTCCTATTGCTTTAATTTAAAGTAATTCTAAAACTGAAGTTTGAATGATGCCTGTGACATATTTCTTGGTATCAAAAACTAAACTGGTTCTCTGACTCTGGGTTTATGGAGCACATTCAGTGCTTTGGTTACCACACACAATTTGTGTGTGATCACTACTTGCCGCACGTGTGGAGTGTCAGTACCGCTGGTATATACACAATCCACTCTCGCTTTGACATCAATCCCGACATAAAGTAATTTTCATTCATATTTTTTTATTTGACAAAGATACTCTTAACTCAAATACCGGTAGTAAGCACTATCACTTCCGCACAAAAGTCATTTAGACCGACAGGGTTTGAAAGTTACAAATACATGTACAGTCATGCAAGTGTACATCAACAGTGCTTCCATCTCAGAAGACAAAATTCCTTAGTTCTCTTGTTCCTTTAGGTTTGGTACAGTCTTTTCCTGTTACGGATCGCGAAGCAGGAAAATGACTTTAATACAATGGGTGGAGTGGATCACAAAAGTACCTGTAGCTGTCAATCAGGAACAAGGAACCCTTATCAAATATATACATGTACATGTAACCCATGAGTGAAATATCATTAGCATAAAATCCAAAAAGGTAGTATAATACCCATTTAAATCAGTCTGCCATTAGTTCATGTACATGTATGTGTATGGTTTGTTTAGAGGAAAGATAAAATAAACCATGTATATTTTTGAGTGATTTCAGTCTACAAAAAACAAAATCATGAAATCCTGTGTTAAAAATAATGTACATTCAATGAAAACTGATTTCTCAAGTTGATGGGAGTAATCATCTTGATTTGATGATATCACAACTGCTCACATATTTTGTGTTCATTGAGATTTAGCGAGGATAGGTCCAACAGCCGTATTATACCGGTAGATGGAGACATGATTTGTACATATACATGTACGTGTATTTTTGGTTGCGATTACTCCACCAAATTTTGAGTGTTTAATGGATGAAATAAAGTTAGCTAATTTTGCCAGATTTTGACTCTGCAAAACCATTAAAAATCTCACGTACATGTAAGTTACATGTATCGGTACTTCTATTCAGATGGATTTCATTTTTAAAAGGCTACTGGTAAATCTCAACAGTAAGTACCACAGTACCAATGTCCATTTGTTCGTGCTTGCTGACCTTGGATGCAGTTTGTCATCAGAGGCATTTGTGTATAGGGTCCATTCTGCCAAGTGCTGATGACGCATTGTTAATTGGTATTGGTATGACTCTGCCGTTTTGTGAAATGGTATGCATGAAGAAATGATACTGTAGTCTTCATTTGTTCTCTTTTGATAATAGAGTGCTGTTTGTTTCTAATACTTCTAATACTTGTTCAGATGGATGGGCAAAGTACAGAAGAGCTCATGAACCAGCTGGAGGCCCTGAAATGCCTTGCTCAAGATGTGCAGGCAATGCTTCGCTACAGCACATTCTGTCACCTCAAGACCATTCAGAGTGGTCAATGGCTACTGGCCCAAGCCATGTCCTTGTTGACCAAATTCCAAATGCTGGCTGAAGAGGACGTCCAGCATAGTCATGATGAGATGACGACAAGGGACCGCAGTGGTTGGAATGACCCTGAAGAATCACCTCTTGATGCTGCATTAGAGGAGGATGAAGATGTCCTTGAGGTATTGTTTTATTTTAAAAGAAAAGAAAATCGTGTATAGTAGTTCAGAGATGTTTAACAAAGAAAACATTTGCTGCAAAATTGCAAATTTTCAACATGTTAAGGATGTATTCTGTTCAAAATACATGTAGCATACTTGCCAACCATTCTGATTTTGGCAGAATTATTACGAAATTTTAATGTTGATTCCCAATTACAAATTTCAGGCCCAAAATTGTGATTTTTAGAAATTTCTCAAAAACGGCTGTAAATAGTGTACACATATGTTCATGCCCCTCTTTTAGTTGGTACGCATGCACACTGAATCCTACTACAGCACCAGAGGCCAGTAAAATGGCTCTTGACTAGGGCAGGTGAACCCCAAACGTAATCGATCAACATCAAGCTTGGATAAAGTTCTTTGCCCCTCATTTCCATACTGATTAGAATTTCAACACTCAAGGTCCCTTTTGCTAACTTGCACACTATAAATATCCATTTTCTGCCAGATTTTTGCCTGTCTTCATCACATACCTCAAAAGTAACGGTCAGAAGTTGGAAGTGAAGCCAACATTTTAGAGGGGATTTTTTCAGTTTTGCCGAGTTTTCCCCGACATTTCTCTACTAGGGAATAGTATCATGAACACCCTAACGAGAAACTATCATGCAAGAAGGAAACCATATGGATGAGAACAGAAACTTTTTGTTTGGGTCTTTTAATCGGGCAATTTGACGTTCTTGTACGTACATGTATTAGTGCGATGCAGTAAACATCAACTCCTACCCAAATGCACTCGTATCCAGGTGTATGGATGTGTACGTGTGCACCATGCCCAAAATCTCAGTTTTGACCGCTACCAAACTCAGTGCAGAAATTTGCATCTATATGAAACATGAACTGCATTTCAGAGAAATGGCTCCCGATCTTGAAAAAAATGAGTTGATACAACCTATGGGTAGTGGTTTTACAGCAACAACCACAGAGCTGTTTCTGATTTCAAGTTGTTTAATGGGGAAAATAAATATAAAAAATTAACTAAAAAACACAAGGTAGTAGACTGTGACCTGTGTTAAAAAACACTGTCAAATTTATTCAAAACTTTTAACCGTTAATAACTGAAGCTTGGGAACCTCCATGCGCATGCACAAGTGCATCCAGGCAAATACAAACTTTACTTTCTTGTACTTCTCACGTTGAAATGTTTGAACAGTGTGTCAAAAAATATGGAAGGCGAAAAAGATCTACAGAAATTTGCAGGGTGTAAATTCCTCACTATGTGGGATTCCAAAGTCTGTATTCATACTCAATAGCCATTGAAACTCTTGCATTCAGTATTTCTTTAATCAAAATGACTTTTAGAGTTTGTGTTTTTAAAAATTGGCCAAAAAATAAATGCATCTTTATTCCTAGTTTCGGATCGCACACAAGTGCATGCCAGTACATTGCGAGCTCAACTACGTGCGCGTAACAAATTTTTATGTGAAGTAATGGGTTCATCCACTGTGCGGTAGGGGGATCGTATTTTTGGTAGCTCGGTGTGCTGCTGAAAAGTCAAGTAAAAATTTACACAGTTTCTATGTTTGAAATCTAATGAAATGTTCTCAAAATTAAATTCTTCAATGGAAAATCAGCTTGTCATTACTTTTGCTGAAAAGTGGATTTCTGACGTGGTTACACAAAGCATGTCGATTTATTTGCTTAATCCATATCTTTAACTTGTACCACCCATGGATACCTTGTACATGCACATCAGTAGGGCATTTTCATGTGGCTGAGTAAATGGCGACTCAGAAGCTCATAATGGCTGAACAGAAGTTGTGCTACAGTGTACATGTACTGTACATAATGCATTTTGCTGACTAATTTTACAGTCTGTTAAGCCATCATAAAGTGGGAAAGTTTTGAATGTGGAGTGGTTTCTTACACACTTGAAGTAATGGTAGTCTTTTTCTTTATACCTGTAGCCAACTCCAGTTAAAATAAAGCCAGAGCCAAAAACTTTGGCATTCAGCAAAGTTTGTCAGGAGCAAAAACAGACACTTAGTGAGAAGGAGAAACAAGAAACAGAAGAGATGATGGATTTTCTGCAGAACTTTGAAGAGGGCACAGATTTTGATCAGGACGTGTTAGAGGTACATGTATACATTCCTCAACAAGTTCAGTTTTCGAAGTCTGAAATGGCCATAAAATTCTGTCCCAGTAATTACCGGTATACTACATGTACATACTGTATGTTTTTAAAAGCATATTTGTTTGGTTATTGTTTCAGTTTATCTCCTGATAGCTTGCTTAGTGTTTATCACCATTCAACATGTCACATGATTCTGTTTGTCACATGACACTGCATGTCACCTGACATGTACACGTATGTACTGCATGAACTGGCCCCCTGTTTGCTGGTACTTATTCATACTCAGACTTGTATGTACATGTAGCTGCAGGTCACAGGTACAGCGTACATCAGCACTATTAGGCATTTGTCATTGTAGCATCTCAGTCTGAGACTCAAAGTAGCCTTTACAGTGTATGTCAAAAATATGTCTCCCCGGGATACTGTACATGTACCGTACATGTACCAGTACCTCCTGGATCATTTTTATTTTGTCATTTGAAATAGGAAATTGATGTTTCCAGCAGACAAGCCAGTGGAGATTTGGTAAAAGACGCAGAGGAAGAGACTGTTTCTGATGATGGTGAAGACACCGACACAGGAGAATATGGTAATTGCATGTAGATACTGGTACCCAGACATTGACAAAGGAGAATATGGTAATTGCATGTAGATACTGGTACCCAGACATTGACAAAGGAGAATATGGTAATTGCATGTAGATACCGGTATCCAGACATTGACAAAGGAGAATATGGTAATTGCATTTAGATACTGGTACCCAGACATTGACAAAGGAGAATATGGTGTCTTGTGCTTTCAACCTACCCCAAACAGTCGCTAAATATGCAAATTCCTTTCCCTCTGATTCAATTTGCTAAATCTTCTGATCAACCGTAGTGCGCCCTCATGTCCCATGACGCATAGCGGAATGGCCGCCATGTTCGTCCTTCTTTTCCTTAGCGTGATTCTAAACGGACGTGTCTTTTTGACATCTTCAAGTTTATCGAGTTTCCGTTTCGCTGGTGCGCTACCTGCAGAGACAATACCGGGCCTTGCGGGCTCATCACCATCCATGCCCGTGACAGCAGAGCCCACCAGCCTCCTGCACTGTCGGGGTTTGTATGTCACACTGTCTTCCAGCTTCCTGGGCCTTTCTGAGACGACTGCTTCTACCCCTGCGGTTCACCAGCCCTATCCTGCTGTATCTTTACTGCAGCCTGGGCAGGCCTCCGACGCCCTAACTCACCAGGCGTCGACCGCTGGCTCTTTAACCAGTTCACCCGTACGCAAGAAAGATAAGGCGAGGAAGTCTCACTCCTCGCAGAAGGAGGACACATCGGCCGACATCATGTCAGTGGTCTACATGCGCTCGGAGAAACTCTCTTCTATAGCCAGCCGTCTAGAGCCCACCTCTGCTCCTGCGGCGACTCCCAGATCCGGACCCTTTGCCGGCGCAACGTGATCTGGATCAGCATCCGCACCTGGATCCACATCTGCACCCGCATCCGCGTCTGGGTCTGCATCCGCATCTGGGTCCGCATCGGCATCTGGGTCTGCATCTGCACCCGAATCGACATCCGCATCCGGATCTGCATCTAAACCTGTGTTTATCGGTGATTCTATCTTCATATGATGGTTTCTCCTTCGACTTATCTAGGTTCCGGCGCAGACTACAACTCACGTTCTGCTCTGGCCCCCCAACAAGACATGATGATGCTCCTCCTTCCTCGGATCAACTGTGGATGGAGGGAGATACGCCCTCTGAAGATGAGGATATCTCCTCTGCAGGCAACCTTAACCCTCCTGAGGCACGGCTCTGTCTTCTTCGGAAGGATATGATGCACGTATTAGGCCTGCCTTCCAATCAGTCTACAGCTGAGGCCTCTTCACATGCTTCCTTTAAGTGCCATCCTGCTAGGTTGGAGGCATCAACGCCGATTTTTCACGAACTTCCACTTGACCGCTCATGCGCCGAGATGTTTAAAGTTCTCGCCGGTGCTAAACAATGGCATCCATACCCGCCCAGGGCCTCGATTATTTCCAGTTTGCCAGGGAGGACTTTGATAATTTCCTCTCTTTCCCTGAGATTCCAATGGAGGCTAAAGATGAACTTTCTTCTGACTCTCACAAACCTACAGGAAAGTCTCCATTTAAAGACAAGGACAAGTGTTTCGTCGAGTCTACTCTTGCTAAACTCGACAAAGCCTCACGACATGGCCTTCACTGCACCACGGTTACGGCACTCCTCTCTGAGTATTTGGCCTGAGCGTGTGATGAAGATTCACCAATTACCCCTGACCTGGCAGCTGTCGCACTTCGAGCGCTCAATGAGAGCTTCAACGCAATCTTCGAGCAGTTCGTTCAGATCTCCGTTCTGGCCACTTTTGCATGTAGATCCAACACTTTAGATGCCATGAACATTCCCTATGAGGGAGTCCAGTCAAGACTTCAGGTTCTTCCTCTTTATGGCAAAGACCTTTTCGCAGGGAAGTTCATGGAAATGATGGAGTCTGAAGTAAAACGTATTGACACAACACATAAACTTAGCTCCCATGACCTTCTACCGGTGGCTCCTCCTTGCCAATCTCGTCCCGATGATCGCCGGGCTTGGCCCTTCAGACCCCTACGGCAGAAGAGTTATGGTTCCTTTCGCCCCTTTCGTCAACCCAGTCACCAGACAAATCATGGCCATCCATCCTCCTCTCGGCCTACCAAGCCACCCCAGAGGGGCTTCAAAGAAAGAACTACCGAGCCGCGCTACCCCCGACCCCCAGGGGGTAGGCGTCGTTGACTATTCAGATTTGCCTCTGCCTGCCGATCTCAGACCTGTCGGTGGGCAACTTCAACTCTTCGCAGGGTCTTGGGAGAAAGTCACATCGGACAGCTGGGTGCTCGCAACCATTCGCTATGGATATGCCCTCGAATTCACGAGCACCCCTCCATCTGTATCTATCCTCCGTCCAACTCCAGTTCCTACTGACAAAAATAAATGACAGGCACTGGAGTCCGAGATAGACTCTCTCCTTTGGAAAAGTGCTGTCCGCCAGGTTCCCATATCTCAAGCAAACAAAGGCTTCATCTCAACGTTCTTCCTCACTCTAAAGAAAGAACTCAAAAGCTGGCAACCTATTATCAACCTCAAACCTCTAAACCACTTTATCCGCCCGAAGAAATTCTGCATGGAGACCCTTCGGACGGTCACCCAATCTGTACAGGTTCCATGCTGGGCCTCTTCCATAGACTTGAAAGATGCCTACCTCCACATTCCGATTCACCCTGAAAGCTATGAATACCCATGCTTCCTGTACAACGGGGGCCTCTTCAAATTCACGGCTCTCCCCTTTAGCCTCTCCACTTCACCAGGAGTGTTCTCGAGGGTCGCAAAGATCGTCGCTGCTCACCTTCAAAAGCGGGACGTCATGCTGTTCCAGTACCTTGGACGACTGGCTGATCGTCGGCATATCGTTCAACCAAGCAGAGGTTTCTACCCACCTTACTTGAGACATCACAAATCGGCTGGGCTTCATCATCAACCACGAGAAGTTGAATCTTGCCCCAACTCAATACCCAACATATCTAGGGGCATCTATCGACCTTCAACGAGGCATAATCCTATCGACCACCGAACGCATCGACAATTTTTTCGACAGCGTGAAAGTCTTTTCTACCAAGCGGTCTGCTCCGGCCCACGCCTAGCTCCGTTTCCTAGGCTTGATGGCCAGCATGGTTGACCTTATTCTCCTCTGCAGACTGTACATGCAACCACTGCAACTTCATCTCTTAGCGCTCTGCAGGCCCAAATGGCACTCAATCAATCTCCAGGTCCCCATATCAGACTTCATCCGCCCCCCATCTTCAGTGTTGGTTAGTGATGGAGCACCTTCTCTCGGAGTTCCCTTCCCCAAGGTGAACCCGGAAATAACCATAACATCGGATGCTTCTCATCTGGGCTGGGGAGCCTCCCTACCACCGCTTGAAGCATCGGGAACATGGGACCTCCAGCTCCAAGGGAATCACATCAATATTCTGGAACTTCAGGCCATATTCAATGCACTGAAAGCTTTCTGTCCAAGCATTACAGGCAAACGAGTCCTCATCCGCTCAGACAACTCCACAGTGGTGTCATACATCAACCACCAGGGAGGCACACATTCTCCCCGTCTATGCCTCCTGACGAGACAGATATTCCTTTGGGCCCAGGATTATGGCATCCACCTCCAGGCAACTCGTATTCCTGGTGTTGACAACTCCACAGCAGATGCTCTCTCTCGGGGAAAGGTACGCCCTATGGAGTGGACATTGCAAGCCAGTGTAGTCAAACAGAATCTTCGCCGAAATAGAGAAACCGAACATCAATCTTTTCCCCTCAGCAGAGAATGCCCAATTGCAGGTGTTCTGCACCAGGTTTTACCACCCGCAAGCCTGGGCAACGAATGCTCTTCAAATCAATTCGGAAGGGATGTCGGCCTATACCTTCCCTCCAATATCCCTAATACTGGCAGTTCTCTCCAAGATCGAAAGGGAACGCTGCTGCGTCCTTCTCATCACCCCCTTTTTGCCACGCCAGCCATGGTTCCCTCGTTTGACAAGACTTCTCATCCAGGTACCAGTGATCCTTCCCGACAGACCGGATCTGCTACATCAGCCGAAGTCAGGCGTGCTTCACCCTCATCAGGCGTCACTACACCTGACCTGTTGGCTATTGTCAAACAGTCCTTCAGATCAGCAGGAATTTCTGATGAAGCTGCCTAAATGGCCTCGAAGAGTCGACGTCAGTCTACACGCGACATCTATGACTCCAGATTACGACATTGTACTTTGTGGTGTTCAGAGCAAGGTTTCTGTGACCTCTGTAGCTGACTTCTTCATGCACCTGTCAGATCTCCAGGTTTCAACTATCCGTAACTACTGGTCAGCAATTGCGGTTATACACAATGGCTTTCCAGATGGTTTGACTGTGTCCGACAATACTGCTCTTAAACATCTATTCCGGGAGATGTTTCTTGAGCGTCCCCAACTAAGAGACTAATTCCTTCATGGGACTTGTCAGCTGTCCTCCAACTGTTGGTTGGCTGGTCCTCCCTTTGAGCCTCTCGGCGACGCATTGTTGATTAACTTATCAGTGAAACCGGCATTCCTGCTGGCAGTTACTACCTCATGGCGCGGCAGTGAACTGAAGGCATTGTCCATCTCAGATGGTCACACCTAGTGGGAACCTCGTGGTGTTTGCCTCATGCCAATGCTAGGGTTTCTGACCTAGAACCAATCAATTTCCTTCCATCCTCCTGACATTTTTGTACCAGACATAACCAAACACACTGGGACTCCCGATGACAAACCATGGTGCCCAGTGCGGACTCTTAAATGGTACCTAGCTAAAACCAAAAAACTCAGAGGTACAACTTCGCAGCTGTGACCAGAGACACTATAGCCAGATGGGCAGTTCAGCCATCAAGTTTGCTAACCCAGATTGGCCGAACTCTGTGGACAATGAAACACAATACCTCATCAGGGCTCATGATATCCGAGCAGTTTCCACATCTTGGGTCTACTTCAGGGGTATACCAATGGAGGAAATATGTAAGGCAGCATGCTGGAAGACCCCATCTACCTTCACCACATGCTACCGCACCGATGTTCTACAAAAGGACTCCGCACATGGCAGAGCGGTCCTAACATTGGCCACATCAATACAGAAGGGTTCCTCATTGAAGTGGCCCACCCCTAGAACGACATAACAACTCCATTATGTGGTGAGTCTGCAATAAATTTGGACAATTTTTTACTCCTCTGTCATTCTCATTATGTAGTGCATCCTCGCCGCACCCCCCCTCCAAGGGCTCGGTGCTATTCTGCATATTTAGCGACTGTTTGGGGTAGGTTGAAAGCAGAAACCTCCTCCCCCACAGAAATGGGGGCGAGGTCTGCTCTGGAATACCTACCCCAAACAGTTGGCTCCCTCCCATCTTTCCCCACTTTTGGCTCAGATGGTTTTAATATCGGAAAAGGACGAACATGGCGGCCATTCCACTGTGCGTCATGGGACATGAGGGCACACTACGGTTGATCAGAAGATTTAGCAAATTGAATCAGACACAAAGGAATTTGCATATTTAGTGACTGTTTAGGGTAGGTATTCAATAGGAGACCTCACCCACATTTCTGGTGGGGGAGGAAATTGCATGTAGATACCGGTACCCAGACATTGACAAAGGAGAATATGGTAATAGCATGTAGATACCGGTACCCAGACACCGACAAAGGAGAATATGGTAATTGCATGTAGATACCGGTACCCAGACACCGACAAAGAAGAATATGGTAATAGCATGTAGATACCGGTACCCAGACACCGACAAAGGAGAATATGGTAATTGCATGTAGATACCGGTACCCAGACAACGACAAAGGAGAATATGGTAATTGCATGTAGATACCGGTACCCAGACTCCGACAAAGGAGAATATGGTAATTGCATGTAGATACCGGTACCCAGACACCGACAAAGAAGAATATGGTAATTGCATGCAGATACTGGTACCCAGACACCGACAAAGGAGAATATGGTAATTGCATGCACATGTAGATACCAGTACCCATAGCCCGCAAGACCTTGTTGTGTTAAAGTAGAGTACATTACAGATCCCTAATGAGGCAATCATCATAACTGACCTACTGGTAAATTCTATCCAAGTAACAAGCTACATGTATTCAATTAAATCATGACAAGGGTGTTTGGTGTGATGGAACTTGTGAATTGAATCATGATTATATGTCGTTTACTGAAATGTACTGTTATTTGCAGCTATCAAAAAGTAATTGACAAAATTATCATTAAAAACGTACAGTACTTCATTTAAAGATGGTTACAGGACCAAATTTTCTGTTAAATCATTTGTGGCTTGCTATCATTTGAAGAAAACCATGGAAAGAAGGCCATTTCCAAGAATGTGTTCTAAGATTCATTTGTCAAAAAAACATTATGATTCAATGAAGCATGCACAAGTGATGGCATGTGGCATACATGTACATGTGCGCAGGTATTACCATACAATTTGTTGGTTCAGAGTGCAACACCACCCAGCTATAGTGCACTTAGTGAAAATGTGTTCTTTTGGGATGCTGAAGTCAGGTGCAGTTCAAAACTTGACTATGCAACTTTTGATTTGAAATCAAGATCCTAGAAAACTGTGGGGTTTTCAAATCCACGGTATTCATGGAGCTAAGACTTTAGTTGCTTAGACACCCTTCTTTGCAGTTTGAGCAATTTATTGCTTCAAACAAACATGATGTACAAATGACAAATGATGAACTGTACCTTTGAATACAAGGCTGAATCTTGGGGGAGGGGTGTGGAGAATACAATCCTAACATACTGTACTCTTTAATAATATCAATGCCACATATTTTTTGTCCCAAACGACTTGAAACAATTATGTCAAATGTTGTTCATTTCTTTGTCATTTAAAAGAGTGTCACCTGAACATTTTTTGTCTTCTGTAGATCCATCTCTTTCACCCCCTGATCAAAGGCACACTGATGTTCTTAAGACAAACTTTGGACATGCCAAGTTCAGACCGTAAGTATTGTTTTACCGGGATGATGGTAACCTTTGGGGATGTGTATACAGGGAAGGTCAGATTTTCAGCTGACATGATATACGCAATAGTGTGTCAGCGTGTACTGAGTCCAACAGACACAAAAAGAGTTAACCACAAACACAAAATGCACTGACTCCTGCATAACAAAGACGGCTGACGTCGTAATCCTATCTGCTGAGTATAAACTTACACAGGCTACATGCAGACCTGAGAACAGTCAGGGCTCTGTTAACTGGCACTGTCGCTGTCATAGTTTCGGATTTATTGAAAGTTTTTTAGCTTGGCTGCAGTTCAACAAGTCTTCAAATTCCAGGAAAATGTGGTCCATAGTTTACCTTACATGTATATGTAAAAGATGTCATAAAATTATTTTCAAAGATGAACTTTTTATATGGCCTTACAGGGTTGTCGAAAATACAATGTACTACGACTGCAGCACTATTGTTTGTTTGGTGTATCTAGATTCGGATCGCTCCAAAAGTTCCTAGTCGGGCACCGAAAATAATCCAGTGAGAAATAAATTTTCAGTCAACACAACTAGTACATTTTTTATGACCAAGCATTTTGTAAATTAAAAAACACTAGTACATGTACATGTAGTTTATGTATAACCAAATGAATAGAATCAAAACAGGGTTCAACCTTAATGCTGGACCACTAGTCAAATTCTAGTCAAGGCGGCCCCCACGGCAGCGATCCAGACATTCACACAAAAGTTGCCATACTCAAGTTCAGTGTGTAAAAAATCATGAAAATAAATTCGCTTTGATGTTTCATGGTGATTTTTCCTGTTCGTTTTTGACTGTGGAGCTGGAAAATCTACCACGTTCAACAGAGATCACTCTGATTGCAACAAAAGCTAAACAGCTGAAATCATACCAAAAAGAACAGAAATTAGCCCTCAAATTAAAACAGGTTTCCTGTGAAGAAAAGCGTGGGCCCAGATATTACTACGAGCCTTGATGCGCCAGTAGTGTCACCAAGGCGAGAAAAATGTTAGCATAAAAGGACGGACAATTTCCAGACAGATTTCCTCTGCTTGTGCATTGCCAGCAACAACCACCTTCTACTGGTAGCTGTTTATACATGTATCATATCAGGTTTAGAGAATTCCAGAAATGACACCTGGAACCAGTCCGGCAGAACGAATGCTAAACCTCTTGAAATCACTCTGCTGTAAACCATCTGTATCTTCAGTTTGGCTAATGCTATCGTCCACATGCCACTGCTGACAAGTTAATGACAACCAATGATATCAGTACACACATAGAAGAGTTGAGCTTCATAAATATGCATGTTGTATGACGTACGTTGAGGACTGTAGTGGGAGATGTATGTATATGCAGTTCTACTGTTCAATTTTATTATTGGTTGGGATGAAAGTACTGGGGCACTTGTGATTTTGTGATATCCAGTGAGCGCGTTGTACTTGTACAGTGCACGTACATGTACTGGTGCAGTTACCTTCCTCGTTTTATTTCACCAAGCCATGATAGCACTCACGTGCACTGCGCAAGGAAAGTTGTGCAGCAGAAAAAGTCAGGTTGAAATTTACTGAAGTTTCAGGTTTTTAATTTACTGGAATTCTGGTACATGAGCTGAATTTCTCCAATTTGAAAATTCATCTCTTTAGAAAACCACCTTGTTACGATGGCTCTGGCTGAGAAATGGATTCCTCGCATGGTTACTTTTATTCGTGAAGAACAAGGAAAAGTGTCGTCACTTCAGTCGATCCCAAGCTTAAATTTGGAAAATAATGCTTTTCCAAACACATTAAAGTGGACTACATACCCATTTCACTGGATTTTGAAACTAATTATTGAACTAAAGAAAGTTTATGATCTAGAACTAAGAAAACAGCTGCATCACGATACTTCCTCACCTCTTCCAGTCATCTTGTTGGCCGCACTACATGATTTCACTCTTCACTTAAGCAGTGTTGTGTGTTTTCATTACACAATGCACAAAGCCAGAGCCATAGCTTTGTGTGAGCAGTTGCTCACTGCATGTTGTCGGTGACCTCTGTTGTCTGCGGTCACAAGTCCATCGAGATAATGAGGTCTGGGTATCTTATTGTGCATTAAACCAGCAATGCCCGCAAAAAATCGCAAAGCATGTATTGAACAGCGTGTCAGGATCACTGTTCATGTTTTCGTGTAGGTGAAAATTCTGACTTGTACTGTATGTTGTGGCCACAAAGTGATCAGATGAATATCCTTAAATAAGTTTCACAATGCCATATAAAGCAAATAATTGTGTTGTATATTTTCTTTTCAGCATGCAGTGGAAAATAATTCACTCAGTGTTGGCCAGAAGAGATCAGTGTGTCATCATGGCAACAGGTACACATAAAAATTCACAAACTGTGGTAGTACCTATCCCATCTAGTCCTGTGCACTAAAGGAACTTGTTGAGCCAGGTTTCTGTTTTTGTTAAATATCAGGTACCTGGGGCCGGTTTCACAAAACTCATCGCTTCCGGCGAGTTCCCACTCCTGACTGATCTTAGTTCTAGATGGGTACCTTTAAACACCAACTTCAAGCAAGATGCATAAAAAATTACCAACTGAGTGGCTGTTTCATGTTTGATTTTATTTGTTGACAAAACAGTCGGATAGTACTGTGCATGAACTTTTGGTAGAAAAAACTTATCCTTTTTAATTAATTCACACCTACATTTAGGTAGTTCTACACAAAGAGGTGTGGGAATTCAGCTTTTCTGCTGATTGTAGCATTTTGTTTCCATTTAACTCTGAATTTCAACTTTTTTGTACACCTGCTCTGTACAAAAAAGCACATGGTCCAATCGTTTTATATGCAGGACCACGGACAGAACAGTTATGTAAGGTTTAGATACATAAGCAATGGAGAGTCAGCTCTCTAACATTGAACTAATTACTCTAGGCAGGGGGTTAAGTCTTATTCCTACACCTTGCAAACCCACATGCACAGGGTTAGCCATCCTTTGCCATTTCTGATCTTTCTTCGGAAAACAGATTACAGTTGAAGGTGGCAGGGAGAGTAGGGCACTTGCACTTGCACCTGTTCCGACTGCCCTCCACCTGGAATCCCCAGCTTACCTTCAACATGAATGGAGAATAATAAATTGAAGGTACTTAAGAGGAATTATCCAGATCGAAAATCCATTAAAGGCATTAGGCAAAGGCATTTTAACATTAAAAGGCAGAACACATTGCTTTGGTCTGTCTAAAGAACAAAACAAACATGTCATAAACCATTCCAATGAGGCCGTGGTATTTATGTCTTGAACAGACAAGACCACATATACATACCGGTACATGTACATGAGGGGCTACAATTATCAGATCTACATTACGAAAACATTGATACAGATTTGACCTGGGAAACTGCACAAAATCTCTCTCAAGCCATTCACAGATTGTAAAAGGACAGAGTAATATCCAATAAAGTTGAATTCCTTAGTCATGACAACTACCGGGTATGACAGAACACCTTGCCTCTTCCTCTTACTAAAAGTTCACAATTAAGAAGCACCTGAAGGAACGGGGTTTGTGGGAGGATTGTTAATCAAAGGTTGCAAAGATCTGACTCAATCAATTTCAAAAAACTACTTCTTGCTTCCAATTGCCAAACAGTAATGGACTTAAACACACGATTCTTGGCATGTACTTGGGGAAACTAAAGAATGTGATAGTGAAACAGACTTGCTCACACTGTCTGTTAGAACTTAACATACAATGTACATCAAAATATAACTGAGTTAAACAACAGGTTTTCAGACAGAAAGTGGTGTGGTAATGGGAAGGGAATACAGTCCCGAAATATGTGACATAGCCCTTTTCAGAAAAAGAAAAAAGTGGTTATCCTCCCGCCCAATCCTTCAGTTGTGAGTTACATGAGATATGGACGTTTTAATAATATTTGATGGTAATGAAGATCAAGCCAGTTCACTCATCCATACTCGACCAAATTCACCAAATGCTCAAGTTCATGTCAGAGATCTCAAACAACTGAGTCATCATCCTCGATCTTTTCTTGCACCAAATGAAGGAAACATTCCTGTGGCCAAACAGCTCCATTTTCATTTCGTCTGACCATAGAAATGATGACCACAAACTTTGATCCTTGTCTTAATGCCCGTTCCCCCAGCGGGACACGGCTCCGGATCATGTCCTGGATCGTGGTGGCTCTGTCCCGGCTAACTCCCCCGTTAGTCTGGTCTGAGCATTTGGCATTCACCCCCAGTCCTGTCTCCCTACTACCAGTGCCTACTGTCACCAGTCAACACACCGGGATGGCTCCACACCTCCCGGGCCAGCTACAATGACCGCCACATGCCATGAACTACAGCTGTCAGACAAACTTCTAAGCATTTCACTCAGGCATGACTTGGAAGTTACAATGCCTTTGGTCAATGGGCCGTTTTCGGAGGCGGCCCATTCAGAGGCACCACCTAATATAACTGTGGGCTCTTCACGGACCACCTTTACAGCTACAGAACTGCATAATCGCTGTTCTTGAATGCTACTCATCACTGCGGCTCCTGGCTGCCAGCTAGGGCAATCTGACGAGGGTGTTTCTGTCTCAGCTCTCTGGCGGCTCGGCGCGCTTCGACCTTTCAAGACCTGCATTCCAGACATGCTGCTGATGTTCCGGGTTTTTAGGTTCTTCCTTTGGGTTCTACGACTGGATCACAGCACATAAGAAGCGTAAATGCAAGAAATCCTGCTCCACACCTAGGCAAGATATTTCTTCACTGGGTTTGATGACGGCAGTCCGCTCTCTCGGAGGCGCTGTCCACTTTAGCCAGTCGCTATTAGTCAATCTCCACTCCCCTGGCGACTGCCTCGGATCCGGATGCCCTGTGTGAGCATCTCCTTCCGGATTCTCACCCGGATTTGTAGCCGACTCGGCTCCCGACTTTAGATTTAGTTTCATCTCTGGCTTCACACCTGGCTCTGTCGGTCTGTCTAATACATGACAGCACCCATTTACACATGTAATTTTTTGATTGAATTTGCGCTTACTAAATTCATTCAATAGTTATAATAATAATAATTCTTCAACTTAACCAGGTTCTACTTACAACTCACATTTAGCTCCACCCAAATGCCTCTGCTTTGATCTGTCCAGTTTTGGGGACATTCAGGCATGCAGGAGCTACATGTACACTCTATTGGGCTGCCTTACGTGATTTGCTCGTGCAGCCCCTAGTGATTGTGAGTCTGGGTCATGTGTACTAAACCCTGACCGTGGCTTGAACATTTGCTTATAGGCCTATAGCTACACTAAGCATCAAACATCTGCTCTCCTGGCACCACTTTACCTTTTTGTTGAGCTGTCCTGGTGAATAAAAGGTGATACGATCAGCCTACCGTGTGTGTTTTATTCTGTCCATAGGTCTTGTGTTTATTAACCCCTTGACAATGGGAACTTTTTTCTGAAAGCTGATTCCGAGAATTCCAGCCTCGCTTGGCCATGAAGGCCACCTGCCAAACCGCAAATGCTCTGCACGCTTTGAATTACACAGTGAAAAGGCTCATTGTTCGGTGGCATGTGGCTCTACTCACGCTTCCACATTCCCGTTGCCTCTTTTCAAAGCAGGGACTATTGTGAAGCTGGTGATCGTGATGCAGATTCGGCCTTTTCATTTCTTGGCAACACACAAAGGCCAATCACCATATATACAAGAGCCAGGGTCTGCCTTCTTTCACAGTGTTCGCTCGAGCGTGGGCCGAGAATAATAGCTAAAAAGTGGGCTGAGGATCTCAATTTTTACGGCGGCTCTTACCGTCATCCGTCGCGAAGAGATTAATGCCTGCAGTAGATGTCATCACCCTACTTGCAGACCCATCGAGCCCTCTGATGTCTGAAACTTTGTCATTGGAGGCACTCAGGCGTGTAACGATCAACCGTGATTTCCGGACAGGCCCCTTCTGTCTCTGACCAATGATCATGCCATTCAATTCAGCGTCCACGCCTCAACTGTCCTAATTTAATGAATTTCACATTCTCGTGAATTCTACATGCTTATCTCATCTAACAATTCCCGACTCTCCATATATTCTCCCGCTTGACCTGGCCACTCCCCACATTGCCTTCCGGACATGAGTTTTTCTATACTGGGTGTCCAAAGTTTATATACTGTGACTGTTATGAAGTCTGACAAAATTGTGCCTACTGTCCACGCTCACTTTTTTAACGGTTTGCCACAGTTGACTTTTCAGACTGCACTCCACGTAATCAAAAAGAAAAGGCAGACTTGGCAAGTATTTGTTGATTTCACCGTTTATCCACTCACGATCTCTATTCCAGCGAGTAAAGGGAAATGTGTTCATGCTTCGATGTAGGACAAAAGTATTTGGTTATGGAGGTCTTCCATCTTTGGACACTCCTTACCTGCAGTTTTTCTGTTCTTGCAATGCATACAGAATGATTTTAAGTAGAAAATCTACCATTGCTTAGATTGTTCTGTTCTTGTTTTAAGTCCATAACGTATTAAAACTTGAGTAACATGCTCTGAACAGGCTGAGCAACCCAAAAAGTGATTTTGGCCCACAAAACTTGGAAATCTACATGAAGAATCTTTCGTCTTCCAGTATACGTTGGAGGGTGGTTTCGCAACATCTTGCACCAAGTTTGGTGACATTTCATGCTTCTCACTTATTTTAGGTCCAAAAAGGTAAAATTCACCATTATGCTCAATGTAGGCTGAAGAACCCCAAAAAGTGTTTTTTTGCCCATAACATTTGGAAATCTAGCTGAAGGGTCTTTGAAGAAAATGGCATCAATGTGTGGGGGTTTTGAGGAAACCAGAGTTTGAGCTCAGTGATGAAAAAAGGAGGCACCTTGAGTAACGTGACCTTTTGGGGAGGAAACCGTGTTGGAAGACAATACCACCTCTGTACGTGTACATGTGGTTAGTATGCTTGGCTTTGATTTTTTCAAGACATTTTCTAACGATAAATAGAAGAACAAAGTGAAATCAGTCGGTAATTAGATGGGTTATAAGGATCCCCAGATTGAAGTACAGAGGAGACATTTGCTAGTTTCTATTCAGTAAGAATCTTGCCAGTAGCAAGAGTAATATGAAAAATCCAGGTTAGTTGATAGGCAAGACTGTCAACTGTTAATTTAAGAAGCATTCATGGAAATTGTCAAGTGCATTTGACTTGTAAGCGTGAGGAGCAGTCAGAACTTGTTTGACCTCGGTAGTGTCTGTTTGAATAAGTTTCAAGTGGAATCTGTTGCCCACACGGAACAAGAGGAGGATCATTATCCAGAGAGAGGTGGTTCTGAAAACTAAGACTGAAGTTGTATGGCACAAAGATGACTGATAATGTCACCAATGTGGAGGCACA